AGGATCTCTTAATCAGCATTTCAGAGAGAGACAGAGGCATCACTCACAGACAATGAAAACCAATTTAATTTGTGTCATTACTTTGCATTYAAAGCAGGAAGGTGATGAACACATCATCCCCTCCCTGCAGCCTCCTGGAATTATCCTGGGCTTTTTCCTGGTTTGTGGACTGTCCACTTGGATCTCTGAGAGAAAAGAGCTTTGGGAGAGCACCTTTCAGAGAGCTGCCTCTTCTCTGTGCACAGAGTTCTGACAGAGCAGGAAAACCCATTTTAAGTAGTAAAGACAATTTTAAGGGTTGTGCACATTACAAGTTCAATTTAGGAATCAGCTGGTGAATCCCTTTGACCTGCATGGCTGCATATTGGTAATAAATCTATAAACACCAGAATTCTCTGCTGAGATTGTCAAAGAAACCTCAGCGTTSTTTTCATTTGTGAAGCAAATGACAACAAACAAATGGAATTGTAAAGGCTGAAAATCCAATATAAACTTGTAACGYTCATCCCCACTTGATGAGACCAAATAACAGTTTGAAATATTTATTTTTTTCACTTTTTTTTTATTAGAATAAATCACATGAGATCTCTATTTGGACAGCATTTTGCTTGGAAGTTAAAACCCTCAATCCCTGGGAGAGCTGTGCTGGAGATTCGGCTGTGGGAGCTTTTCCTTCAGGAGATGGATGACACTTGCAGGATGATTTTGGCTGACTCACTAAACAGCATTTAAATGCACAGGAAATGCTTCTGCACATGGGATTGATATTTCAGCTCCAGAAAAGTCTGTGTCTGTTCCTCTGAGCTCTCGTAATCAATCCATTGTGCTCGTAACATGAACAGGAGGAGAGGCAGCGATGTGGGGAAGGGCTGGGCCGTGTCTGGGCTGTGATGCTGATCCAGGTGGTGGAAATTCAGAGTGAACATCCTCTGGATTTGTGTTTGAGGAGGTGGCAGAGCTGGGTGAGCACAGATTTTGCTCCCAGAAATGCCCTCCAGGAGCGGAACAGGGATGGCAGCAGAGCAGTGGTGGGAGCAGCTTTCATCTTGAAGGCTGCTGGAAAGGAAGAGGGGCAAGAACAGGTTGAGATGCACTTGATTATTTATAAACATTTATTAATAAGTCCATAGGATTATGTTTTTCGTGTTCTTTCAGCTTAAGTGAAGAATATTGTGTTTGAGAGAAGTGAATATTGTGTTTGTGGAAAGTGAATAGTGTGTCTGTAGGAAATGAATATTGTATTTGTGGGAAGCAAATATTGGGTTTGTAGGAAGTGAATATTGTGTTTGTAGGAAGGGGAAGTTTTGGAAGTTTGCAGAATAAAAACTCAGTGGAAAACAGGAGCTGGGAAAGCTTTTTACAGTGTACAGGGGGTTGAGATAAAGAAAAATCTGCAGTCTGGGGGCTCCTGGAGTGAAGTAATTTGAGACTGGAGTGAAGCAGAGACTCAAAATCTCGTAGTTCCTTATTAAATCTTGGTTGAAAGCAGTGAATTTGGAAGACAGGACGAGTCTATGGTTTGGCAGGCAATGCAAACAGTGCCTGAGGAGGCTGAGTCCATAAATCGGAACCCAGAGCAGAACCAGGGACAGTAAAATAATGAAAACAATCAGCAGATGAGTTACGGTGTGTTTGAAGTGGCCAAGGAATGATTTTGGGCTGAGGAATCCCAGGCTCAGGAATGTCCCTGTCTTGATTCCCTCCCCAGGAAATGCCCCCTCCCCTTCCCCACAGCCTCACCCCAAAGTTCTCTGAGGAAGGGTGCATTAGGTGTGCCAGGATTTGCATATTATGCTAATGARCTTCCAGGTGGGAAACACACCTCGTGTTTCCTGGGAATGCCGCATTCAGCCCAGCCTGCATTAGTTTGTGTCAATATAAATTTGGGTTTAATGTATGGGTTTCTGCTGGCAGCAGATGAGGGATCAGCACATCTCCAGGCTCTCATCAGTGCTCCCTGTTGCCAGCTCCCAAAGAACTGCCTCCACAAAAAAAAGTGGAATTTTTCTGTGCACACACACAGTATTGCTGTGAAATGAATCCTCTCTATTTTTACTTTCTCTCCTTAAGTCATTTTTCCCCCCCTTGAAGAATGTGCTGTTCCTTTACATGAAACGAGGTTTGCACAAAACCGAGTTTCTTTTTAGGATTTTTGGGAAGTTACAGCTTCAAGAATGACTGCAGTGGTGACTGGGGAGTTGCACTAAAAGAGTGTTGTTGCCTTTTCCTTTGGAGACAACTTCCTCTCAGTGTTCTGAAGGTTTTATTTTTTTTTTTTTCAAAGCCTTCTGTTGACAAGGGATGCAGCAAATACTGAACCTGCTAAATTCAGTTTTTAGAGTGCTGTCTTCTGTAGTGTCACCTGAGGGGGGGGAGCAGGATCTGTTCCAGGCTGGTTTCACTGGGGATGAACGGGTTTGAATTCATGGCAAACTGTGGCCAAGAGCCCCGGGCTAGGGGAGGGTTCTTTGTTGTTGAGCAGAATTGCTGGGGCACTGCAGATGTTTGGGGGGAGTGTGTGACTGAAATGCTTTCGGTTTTCCAGCTGTAAGTTCAGGTTTGGTGCTGCTGTTGAGGATAATGTACAGATAATTTAATCGCCATCGCCAACACGGAATTGTTAAGGTTGGGAAATCCTTCTAAGAGGAGCCCAGCCATGAACCCAGCAGTGCCAGGTCCCCACTAAACCTCCCTGAGCTCCAGATCTGTGGGTTTTATGGGCAGCAGTGCTCAGCTTCTTGGAATTACTGTGGGATGAAACGCTGTGCTGAAAGCAGAACATTCTGAATTTGCCTCATCCCTGGTTTTGAGTCAATATCTCTCTGCCAAGACAGAGCATTTCAACAAATTGTCCATGAAAGCGTTTCTGTTGTTGGAACCTGCGGTTCCTGAAGGGTTTGAGTAGGTCTGTGTTGCTGCCTTGAGCTGCTAAGCAGACACAAATCAGAATGTGGAGGTTTTTCAGCCTCTCACYTTCTTCTTCTGCCCCCAAACCCTGCAGTACCCAAAGTCCTCCGTGGGCACGTGGGAGATGAGCTTTGTGCCCGAGCGAGCGCCCACCCAGCGTGGAGCAGCTCCAGCAGGAGACAGCAGCCACSAGCATCGTAGTAACCGCGCTCGCCGGGGGCGTGGGGGAAGAGAAAAATGAGGATTGGATCCAGAGTCTCCCACGTAGGTTCCAAAAAAAGCCACCCTCGCTCAGTTATGCACACAGGAATGACAGGGATGGGAAAACAAAAGCCCCGAGTGCAGCTCTGAGGGTTGTGCGTGGCGGGTGTTCCGTGAGACACCTCGGGTGCCTTGGCCTCCTCCTGCCCACGGAGCTCAGGGGGCTTGAAATCTCACTGTACTGAAGAGATCAAGTTCTCAAAGTCAAAATCTGCAGGTTTTATTCCTTTGTTTTCAGCAGCAAGGGTTGGATCTGTAGGTGTCTAAAAGCAACGTTGGTGTCGGAGCGGCGCTGAACTTGTGYGAGTTGCTCTCCCCAACTTTCCCTGACTGAAGTGATGAGCTGAACAGTTACAGTAAATAGAGTAATATTTTGATTGGTACAAAACCTTTCGTTTCTTCTTGATGTCTAATTAGCGTAGCTGGGAATGTCAAATATTTACCCGCTCTCCCCAGCGCTGTGCTCACTTGGGTGGGGCTCCATCTGGCTCTGCCTGCCTCCAGCCTGCTTTGATGGAAAAGCTTTCCCTGCCCTGGGGATGGGGCTGGATCCCACCTGCTCCCCTGCAGGTCTTCAGCTCTTCCCTGCAGGAAATGTTGGGGGAAAAGCAGAGCTGTGCAAAGCTCAGGGAGCTGTGAGTGGAATGCTCAGGRTGGGAGATGTCAGAGCACATCCCTGCTGAAAGCTGCTGATGGTGGTGGGAGTGGTGTGTCCGTGATAAATGGAGGAAAAGATCTCTTTAGATAGCCAGGGATGCAATTCCCCAGTGCAGAATGTGGTGTAGAAGCTTTTTGTATCCACAGAATCTCAGAATGGTTTGGGTTGGAAGGGATTTTAAACCTCATCCAGTGCCACCCCTGCCATGGCAGGGACACCTCCCACTGTCCCAGGCTGCTCCCAGCCCCAATGTCCAGCCTGGCCTTGGGCACTCAAAGGGATCCAGGGGCAGCCACAGCTGCTCTGGGAATTCCATCCCAGCCCCTCCCCACCCTCATAGGGAAGAATTTCTTCTCAATATCTCATTTTCAGGGATTCTCAGGGGCTTTGGTAACAACTCCATTCCAGGAGCAGGGGTGTCCTCTGGTTGTGACTTCCTCACATCAGATTGGAATCCAAGCTACAACCCAGGAAATGGKTGCTTATCTTTAGGCAAAATGTCAGACTTCCTTTTTCTGCCTCTCCTCTCTGGTATGTGTTGATAGTGCAAAAAAAAAAAAAAAATTTATTTCCTTATATTATCTTTTCCTTCATTTCTGGTGCTCACTGAATTCTAGCTCCATAAACATCCTCTCCACCTGCCATATGTTCTCTGGGTGACCCATACCCAGCTACCAAACCTGTGAAGTTATGTGATTACACMGTGTATTGAACGAGTTTCCCATTTTTTCCTATTTTTCAAAACATTCTTGCTGTGGTTTGGATGATCTAACAGGGAATGGCTCTGTCTCAGCCCTTCTTGGGGGTTTAGGGTGGTTTGTTGTTGGCTGAGAGCTGCACTGAGGTGGCAGTGGAAGAGTTTCAGCCTTTGGTGAAGTCAGAGGTGGAAAAAACAAGGTTTGAGTCATCCCAGGTGGAACCCCAGGGTGTGGGGAGTGGAGCATGGCTTTGGGGGTTGGAAAAGAGACCTCGTGGATTTGAGGGGGAACAGAACCCAGCAGTGGAAAAGGATCTGAGCAGGTTCAGCTTTGGTCCCGTGGCACTTTGAAAACAGCAAATAAAAGCAATGCCAGACAGCYTCTTGCTCTGCCAAACAAGTTAACRTCAACAARAAATAATTTAGTGTCTTAAAATATCAGTATAACTGACTTTGCCTGTGAATTTCTCCTTTCAGGTATTGGAAATCTGACTGAAGTCTCCATATCATGCACTGGAGAAGGTAAGAATTCTTTAATCCTAATTTTGGTGGTTGGTGTTGATGTGTCTTTATTCTTAAATGATGTTTATTTTTAATATCATTGCATCGAATGTCAGAATCTGCTTTGCATTGTTTKTGCTTTCAAGAATCTGCCCTGGAGTTTCTCTGTGCCCTGACAGGGGGTTTTGATTTCCTTTTTAAAAGAAWGTATAAATCTGCATTTAAATTCTGAAGTGTGTATATGTTGCATTTATRCAATTCTACATTGGAAAATGTGGAACAGTTTGCCTTCAGCTATTATTGTAAATGGGAAATTGTAAATTATTGTTTAAAAGGATGTATGGAAGTTACAGAATGAATCTTTTACAAAAGGATATTGATATCTTGTTATCAATAATGTTCCAGGGTTTTTTTTTCTGGCTGGGCTCTTACTGTTCTTGTCAAGAGGTTTCCAGAATTGGTGTTTAATTAATGATTGGATGATTGACTCTGCAGCTGAATTAGTCAAAAAAACCTGTGGCGTTTCTGAAACTCAAATTTTCTTAATGGCCTCTCAGTTTGAATGTCAAAGGGAATCAATTTTGTTAGTGGAGAGGTGGGTTTTGTTCTATAGAACCTGAAATTATCTTGAGGGGTTTTTTTCAACATGCTTTTAAGTGTGAATTATGTTGTTTCCTAAGAAGAACAAGATGTTTTCAGAGCTTACAATTAAGTATTTGAAAAATAAGCCTTGTCTTTAGTTTTAGATGTTATTACTGTGTCTGTTCAGAGAGATTACAGATGGTTTCTGACAAAAATATTTAATTTCTTAATTCTTGGAAGTTTCTCCTTAGTCCTGGGTGGTGTTCACAATGAAAACTGGAGTAAATATCCTTATTCAGCCTGGCTCTTTTGCAGTGTGCTATCTTRGTGTGAGGCTTTCAAAGCCAGGAGGATAAATTCAGGGATGGATCACTCTCTAGTCTTTCYGGTGCTCTGAAAGGAAAAGCTTATTTCTTAATATAAAAGATAACTTTGAATAATGGACTCCTCATCCCTTTGGACAGAACTCCTAAATTAGCCTCAGAGCTCCTTCTCAGGTGAAATCTCATTTTCAGGCTCCCCACAGCAAAAAGGAGATGCTGATCCCCGTTCCGTTTGGGAAGCGTTTCCAATCTGCTGATGAAAAGCACCTCTGAAGAGTTAGGCAACCCTTGATTAATTGAGCCTGAATAAGAAGTGCAGGATCAAATCTCAGGATATTATTTTTAGGCTGCAGGCCTGTGTTGTGCCTTGGCAATCCTCAAATGCCCGTTTGATGGGAATTGTGGAGGAGCAGAGGGGACAGCCCCGAGCAGGGCGGCGATGGCTCCCAAAAACTGACACCAGGGTGCAAATTGCTTTTAAATTAATGAATTTACAGAGCCACCTCTCTGCTGGGTAAACACTGTCATTAGTGAGGATGTGACTGGGATTTGGGTGAAATGTCTCTCTTCTGCGTGGCACTGGCAGTGAAGGGGTGTTTGAAATAAAAGCTGAGTGTGGGGAAGGGTTCAGTGAAAGGAACCATTAAAACATTAAAAAGTCAGCGGTGCCAGGGGGAATTTGGTTCTGGAATGGCCCTGCAAGTCAGAACTGGGTTCTTGGGGTGTGTGTGATGTGGGGAGTGGGAACAGCAATGTCACCCAAGTGCTGAGTGTCCCAAACACTGAACTTTGAGAGTCTGAATTGTGCCCTGGTGGCAGCGAGCCTTGGGATGCAGTGTCGTGCTCCCAAAGAGCAAGCACAGCATGTTTTGTAGGGAAAACAGTCTCACACGCTGCTGTACCTGACAAAATGACACATTTGGGGACTGCACATTCAGCTTTTATACATATTTCATCTCTGGGGGAGGGCAGGATTTCTCTCCCCCATTCCTCAGCAGCACGTGGACCTTGCTGAGCCAGAGCCAGACCCTGAGGAAGCTGAGTTTGGGCTTTTGCTTCTGGTCTCGTGCCTCAAAACTGGCTGTGGTTGACCAAAGGGACCCAAAAAGCAGGGATTTGAAAAGAAACAKTTGTGCTTGTAGTGGTATAATTACACAATTCTACCTGATTACCTGTCAAGCTAATTGAAACAGTGACAGGCCAACAGTCCTCTTACAAAGAACAGATGCTGCAAACTGTATTCCACAACAAGGCTTGGAGTGTAATTTTAATTAGAATTATTGCCAGCAGACAATGCACAGTTGTGCTGCAGAAATGTCCTAATCCTGAATGTGCTGGTGACAGCTCTGGAAAAGGAGCTTGTGATGAGCAGAGTCTGAAAGGCAGCAGGTTCAGGGCATGGTTTGACACGATTGGGACTGGTTTTGGTTGTTGGCAGTGTCCCCTTTGCTGGGGTGTGACTTTGTGCCTGGCAGCTCTTGGCTGCTGGTCCTGGCTGCTCGTTCCAGGTGGAAATGCTGGGGGTCAGTGTGAAAGAGGATTATTGGGATGGACTAAACTGCCTCCAGCATGGAATTCTTAGATCCCCCCTTCAAAGACAAGGGTTGTTTGTGATCTCCAGCTTCCTTCTGCTTCCCAGATCCGTAACTGTTCTCTTTCCTTGGCTCCTTGTTCCTCTCCTAATCCTCTCAAAATCTGCTGTGTCCTTTCTTTCCCTCTCTATTATCTCCTGCTCCCCTCCCAGCCTGATTCCCTTCTCCCCCTTTTCACCTTCTCTGCCATCCCTTTCCTTGGATGTCTCATTCTCCCCTTATCAGCTGGGTTCCTCGTGCTACCCAAAACCCCTTCAAAATTAAACCAGAATCCATGGTTCTAAAAAACTTGATAAACAGAATCACCAAACCTGCCATTTCATGGTGGATCAGCTTGTGTTTTTTTAAGGATGAGCAGCCTCTGCTCTCCTGGAAGTTGGATCTGGGAGAGAACATCCCAATTTTACCGCAGAGTGAAATGACAACTTTTTGATAGAACCTGGGTTGTAACTAAAAATTGCAGAACCTGCATTTTGTTTCAGATTTTAGGGGTTTGGGTTTTTGTTGGTTTGGGTTTTTTTGGTTTGTTGTATTGGATTTGTTTTTTTCTTTGGTTGTTTTTGGGTTTTTTGTGGGTTTTTTTTATACTTTGAGTAACATTGAGGATGGAATCCTCATGACTTGTCTCTCCATCAGAACACGATGAATACTTGCACAAAACATAGGATTGAGTTGTGTTCAGTCCCAGGTACCTGGCCAACTTTTCTCCTTGCAAACAAGTTTTGGCAGAACAGGAAATTACCAGGTAATAGCTTGAGGGATGTGCCCCATTTCAGCATTTCAGAGCATTTTCTCTCAGAATTTTCAGAATTTTCTCTCAGAATCCATTTGAGCTGTGATGTCTGCATTCCCTGAGTGGGACCATAGGGTTGGAATAACCCCAAGGGATGTTTGGTGAAGCAGMAGCGCCGCTCGTTCCGAAATACAACACGAGAAATTCCCTGGCACGGAGCAGATCTGCCCTCATGCACTTGGTTGATATTGTAAAAGAGATGATTGTGGCCTTACAAGAAGGTTAAGATGTCGTGAAGTTTAATACACTCTGAAAACGGCCCTGTAAGAGCAGCTACCCRTGATTGATGAGGCAGGTTATGATGGCAGCTCTAAATCTGGTGTTTGTGTGTGCAAATTGCCATCCCCCGGCCTTTTCAAGGCTGCCGACTTTATCTCCTGGTGCAGCCCATAGTTAAGGATTTCGTGTTGAATTAGCCTTTGATTAAGGGCACAGGAACTTTGATGATAAAATGCCACTACCAGTGGCTCTGTGGGCTGGCTGGGAATAACTTATCAATCACTGCTCGTGACTGAGAGCACACCGTGGACATGAGGGTCACCCTTTGAGGATTAATTTTCTGAGATAAACAGCTCATGGCTGGTGGATGATTATGGTCAGAAGCAATTATGGTGTTTTTAAGCTGTTCATTACTGCAAGAAAGAGTCTTTAGGCTGAGTTTTGAGCCGCTGCTTAAATAGTTGGGTCAAGATGTGTCAGCCTGGGTTCCAAGGTGTTATTGAATGATAGGAGTTGTTGAGATTTCTGGCAGAGGTGGGTCCTGCCAGCTGGTTTTCTCTATTTTTTTTTTTCCYTGTTGACTGAATTTCTGCCCCTTTTAGGTGAGTGACTCAAACAGCCAGTTGGCAGTTTTGTGAAGCCCCATGGAAATAGCAAAGATGTATTTTGGAGATATTCTGGAGAACATTTCCCAGCTGGCTTTAGGTTCTAGGCAGGTGTCACTGCCTGKTTCTGATCCTCTGGGCTCCAGGTTTCCATTTTTCTGTCTCCTTTTTTAATTCCTGCAACTCGTGRTGCTTCTCATGGCTGGAGAAGTGGCAGAGCCTGAAAGCCAAAGTATGTCTGAGATAAATTTCTATTTAGTAAAAAAGGGAGAGCCCCAAACACCCAAGATACAGAGTGGCTGCTGTCACAAGCACTGCTAAAAAAGAATGAGAAACTGTCTCATGGAGGGATTAGTGTAGTGAGGAATAAACTGCTGAATCACTGGGAGCAAGGAAGAAATAGAGAGTCGAGAGKCTCTGGAAAAAAATAAAATGGCTGCTGGAATTCAATTAAAATCACAGTAGGATTTGCTGTTGGAGATGGAGCATCAGTCATCGCGGATCCCGTGGTGGCTGCTGCCTCGAGGGCGATTTCAGAGAGTGTAGAGATCCTGAAAAGTGTGCAGGGAGGAGAGCCCCCATTTCCTCACAGATGTGTTTTCCCCAGCACACCTCGGAGTTTGGATTGCTACTATGACACTTTTTTCCATGGATTATCTGAGTCAGGAATTGTGGTTTATCCTGTACCCTGTGGGAGTGCTGCTTGGGCTGGGGGGGCTGCAGATCAACTGGGGGGTTTATGATTATTTTTCTTTCAATTATTTGGATTATTTAGTGATTTTAGTTATTTAAGGATGAGCTTGTGAGGGGCTGAGTGGCTTGAACAGCCTCCACTTGTGTCATCGGTGATGTCCACAGTGCAAACCCAAAAAAAAAGCCCCAAAAATCAGGGGGGGCTGCCCTTCCT